TCAAAAACATTGGCATTTGTATGTTGGTCAACCTTTGAATTTCCAATTTTAACAGTCCAAATTCGACTTGGTTTTTGACGTTGAAAAGTTGACGAATTTTTATTGAGATTATTTTCAACCGTGCTTTGATTTGAGAAAAATCCTTCATTCGAAGCTTTCTTGTTGTCCTCTTCAACAATTTTGTTAACTTCAGGATTAACTTTCTCTCCATTTCCAGTTGTAACAAATACTTGATTCGGAAAAACAACATCATCAGAGCATTTGAAATTTGGATATACAACAGAATTTGATTCAAGATAATGAGAACCCTTTTCTTTCAAGATTTTGTCGAATTTCTCTGTTTCTTTGTAGACCTGTTCAACAACAACTCGGGGAATTGTTGTTTCCTTCGAAACTTCTTCATCACCATCACTATCGGTTTGACTATCTTCGACAGTCACATAGTCAGGATCATAAACTTTCGAAGTAGAGGGTTGGTCTTTGTCACCTTTAACCGAAGAATCAATACATTTTTCTTTACCATTAGCCATAGAAGTGACATTAATTACAGAAAATTAAGAACAATCAACAACTTCTTCCTCGTCAATTTCACTAATATTGTCAGAATCATCTTCGATATCAGCAACATTGTTTTGAGAGTTAGATGTCGAATTCTCAGTTCTTTTCAAAATTTTTGATTTGTTTGTTTTTGGTCGAAGTCTTATTCACAATATCAACCAATTCATTTGCATCTAAACATTCATCAATTTTCACAATCCCATATGGATATCTATCATCTAGAACCATATCAAACTAACAGATTGTTTTCTCACAGTCATAGGAAGTTGAATCAATCTTCTCCCTTTCAAATGCTAAAAAGGGCAAAATTTTCCTATGCTGCTCTTTACTTATATCAGATGAATGATGTAAAGCAGTTATTTTAGCATATAAATGTTTTATAGTGTTACAATAGATGTTTCTCTACTTTAACAAGTCCTTTACATCTGCACTTAAGCTATCCATATCACACATGATATTCGTGATTTGTAATTCTAAATGATCTATTCTTGCTTTCTTCGACTCTAAAATCCTTTGTGTTTCTAGCAGTTGAGTACTAGACCTTTTAGCATCATCACTAGCAGAGTTAAGTAGATCATTAACATAAGTAATTGCAACATCAAAATCAGATAAAATTGAATCATATGAATTTGAAGGAATGTTAAATGATTGCAAAAGAGAACGTACCTGAGATGTCATTGGTGATTTGGGAGTTGATTTCGAAACAAAGCACTTTCCAGTGACTTTCTTTTCCTCCTCTTCTTCATACTTCGCGAACATGGCCCCATGTGTTGGGTTTCGCATCTCTTCATCGTCAGAACCTGAGGACCAGATTTGGTAGGTTCCCTCTTCTTCATCCATACCCCTGGCTACCAGTGACATCCCCTTCTCTTTTGCTCTTACTTCCTCCAATCTCTCCACGTAATAAGCTTCATCTTTGACCTTGTTCTTCATTTCATCCCTCTTTTGCAACATGCAATCATTGGCCATATGATTCGCTCCATTACAATAATGGCAGTCGAATCCAGAATCACCTTTAATCTTTTTTCTCAACTTTCGCTTATTCAGACTTGATCTCCTTCTTCTCTACTTTCTTCTCTTCACCTCCAGACTTTCCAGAAAAGCTACCCTTCGTTTCACCAATTCTTGTCTTTGAATTGAATGGCTTTTTATAAAACTTTTTCACTCGATTGTTTGAGTAAAAAGTTATAGCTTCGTCATATGAGTTTACGATCACACCTTCATCTTCCGAAATCTCATTCTCAATGACTTTTTTCTCATTCTCTCTTCCAGAAACTTTCGAAACCAAAGCAAGCGGACCACTCAGACTGATCTTTGATTCTTCAGCAATTTCATTTACTTCGGATTCATGAGATTTCAACAGATTGTAAAGATCATTCAAAGAGAAATAATCAAAGCTTTGCTGAGTCTTCACCATCAGACTAACATTTCACCACTCTTTGCGAAGCCCCATAATGAATGTGAGATTGAACTCCATTGTCAGCCTGGTGATCCCATATGTATTGCACTTGTATATGATTTCATTCAGACGATCATAGTACAATTCGATGGATTCACCTTCTTTTTGTTTAAATTCTCTTAACTCCAACAGACAATGTTTTACTGAACTGATTTTTGTTTTCTCACTCCCCTGATATTTTTCCCTCAAAGTATTCCAGATCTCATTTGAAGTTTTGCAGCTACGAACATAATTGTATACGACAGGTGGAAGAGCACCACGGAGTTCTCGCATACATCTCTTTTCATTCTTCAGCAATCTTTCAGTTTGTTCATTAACATTTGGATTTGTAGCAGAAGTTCCAACACTACGAATAGCATAAGGAGGATGAATATCATCAGTGATGCATTTCCAGAGTTCCTCATCAATTCCATTTAAGTAGTCCTCTATACGATCAGCCCATTGATCGTAGTACTTAGGAATTAACATAGGAATCTTTGTAGAAGATCCTAGAAGATGAGAAAAGGAGTTCATGGTGTTCATATTAAAGTTCGCCATTGATGTACGGAAGGTTTTTGAGAAAAGCTTCAAGAATTTGAAAATTAATGGATGAATTAACCAGAAAACTGAAATCGAACACTCGACTAAACAATCTAATCGCAGAATCGAATCACTACATAATATCTAATAATATTTTCAAAATCAAAAGTGCGGGAACTTTTGAATCTAGAACGAGACTCAAAATACTTTTGAAACTAGAGAAAATCAGATCAACGCAAAATGATTCCTGCTCTGATACCAAATGTAGTGTAGATTGAATCGAGTAAGTAACACGAGATCAGAGTTAAGAAAAGATTTAGAACACGAAATCTAAATATAATATGGTTGGCTCAATATATTGCTTTCAGAGAATACAAGAGAATAAGAGAGAGTAGAATCCAGTATTCAAGCTATCTCTAAACATGTATCTATCCCATATTTATAGGGACACTGAAAGCACACAAAAAATATAAGGGACTCGACATTACAATTTCGAAACATAAATGCCCTTATAATAAACATTACAAACTGACTTTCAACACTCAGAATGTCCTAGACAATTTCGACATCTCACAACACTTTCGAACCCAGCACATTTTTGACTTTATTCCCCCTTTCCTCCTTCACAACTCGGGTACATGTCATGATATTATGAAGATTATTATTAAAAGATTTTCCTGGTGCACAGAGATGAACGAGAAAAAAGAAATTGATAAAAAGAAGGTTGGTGGGTTTTAAAGTGACTGTAAACATGAAAGGAAAAAAATATCCCCAACATGTTAATCACATGGGGGTTAATAACAACAAAATAGATGGCAAAGTTAATTTAGGGATTGGGCGGGTAACAAATTTAGGCTTTAGGGATGATCCAAGTTAAAAAAAACTTTTTAGGGACCAGACATGCAAGTATCCCCTAACTAGAGGGACCATCCGTGTAATTACTCCTATAATTATGTGGGAATGAATAGACTATCACATTACATCTTTTATGAGGATGTTCAAAGTTACTAAATAGCAAATAAAAAGAAGCATGAAAATGAAAACTTATGTAAAATTTACATCTAAACATAATAAAACAACTTGAATTTACATTGACATATACATAAAAATAAACAAATAAGATTAATTGTTTTTAAGTTTACGTACGTAAGTTCAAATAATCCAAAATGTATTATGTGACTCGATTTTATATATTACGGGGAATAAATATAAAAATGTAGAAAATAAAGGCGTTGAAAGTAATATTCTATAAAATTCAAAGTTGAAGAGGGTAAAAATAACATTTTAAAAAGTAGACAGTTGAAATATTATTTTACAAAATAGATGGATGATATTAGAAAGACTTAAATTGTCAAAATCAAATAAAATAAAAAACTGAAGTCAGTGGCCACTTACTTTGGCTTTTAATATATAGGTAATTATAGATTTTTATAAAAAAAAACATATGAAGTGAATATATATATATATATATATATATATATATATATATATATATATATATATATCTTGTACTATAGTATAAAGCATATTAGTCATATCTTGAATTTTAAGAGGTATAAGATACAAAGCTTTTTGTACAAATTAATTATGCATAAATAATTATTAATACTTGCCAAAAATTTAATGACTTGAATTAAGGAAAGTTATTAAATGGTAATTCATATATATAAATTAATTTATATTTTTTAAACTAGACATCGATATTAATTAATTTACATCAAATATATAAAGAGACAATATAAATATAAAGTCTAAACATAAATATTTAACTTAAAAGTGATACTTTTTTATTACATAAATCTAATATATTTCCCGTAAGAAAAATATTCGTCAAAAAAACTATTATCGCCGCTGCTTTGCGCGGGCACAAATCTAATATATATATATATATATATATATATATATATATATATATATATATATATATATATATAATCACGTTTTACTTTATTACTAAAGATCGAGTCTTCTTTGTATATTTATGTTAATAAGAAATGAACATCAATCATATTGAGACGATTGACTATCTTATGATTCTAAGTCTTGGTGTCAAACCGATAGACATATCGATAATCTAATCTCCAACTTTTACCATTGTCAAAGATTAGATTACTTAGGGGGTGTTTGATTTGGTTCAGACTGGGTCCGGTCAGACATTTTTGTCTGACCCAGTCCAATAAGCTTGTTTGATTTGAGTAAATAAATCACTTACTCGGTCCATTAGTCTCTTACCCGGTCATGAAAAAAAAAGAAGCTGACCGAGACCAGACGCCTTCTTTTCCCTCGTTTCCCTCGCGTGCCCTTCTCCTCTTCTAACCTTCGTCGTATTTTCTTCATCTTCCACCTCGTTCCTTGACTCCTTTAATCGATCGGCCTTCCTCCAGCGATGCCTCCAAACAAATCGACCAAACTCCTTTGCCCATAGCCCTAATACACCTTAAACATAATTTCTCTTCAGCGGACTATGCATCGTCGACTTCTCCAGCACCAGTCACATCGTCTTGCACTCTTGCTCCTCCTGTTACCGCCGCAGCTAGCAGCGTCGCCGTCGGTATTCTATCTTCCTCCTCTTTCTGATTTATGTGGATTATATGTTTTGTTTTTGTTTTTTTCCTGTATTGAAATATTGTATCAAAGAGATTTACCTATTATTGAATTCAATTCTCATTCACATAATCATATCCTGCTATTTGGTATTGACAGCTTATGAAAGCCATTAGGGAAAAGAACATAAGATTGGGGTTATCTTTAATCTCTAATGGGGCAAACAAAAGGGTTAAATCGTAAGGATTGTTGTTTTGTTATTGCAGAATTTTTCCTTTTCAATTTGTTGTTGTGCTCTTTGTTTTCCACTAAAAGTTTTGATAATTTGGTGTATAATAAACACGAGAATTATGTTTTAAGAATGACAAAGCTCTCATGAACTAAAAAAATCAAACACTGTATATTCAAGGATTGAATATTTGAATTTATTCACGTATACTACTTTTTTTAACAAAATAAAAATTGTGACTGTGGAGCAGGGGAAGTAAAAGCAAAAATGAGCCAAAAGAATGTTGCTGTAAGTTTTGAATAATGCTTTTGTCAAAGGAACTCCAAATCAAGAACAATTTAAAGCAACTTAAGCATGTTATTTAGCTAAAACAATGTAATTTTAATGTTTTAATTCATTTGATTTGTAAATAGTATTTAATAGTATTGAATGTTTTTATAAAAATGTAATGTTATAAATTAAATGGTAAATCATAAACGATTATTATAAAAAATGTTGTTTAAGGGTAATATAGTAATTTTTCACAGTCAGTCAGATGCGAAATCAAACATCAAGTTTCAGTCAGAAGTTAACTCAGTCAGAACTTCTAACCCAGTCAGCTTTTAACCCAGTCAGCTCTTACTCAATTAGCAACTATCAAACGACCCCTTAGACGGACAATATGACGATGATTGTTAGTCAATGAGCTGTTCATTATCATAAAAACCTTTTGGATTTTCCATAACTTTGCGGTCTTATTTGATATTGTGTCACAATTTTGTTTTTGGGTTTTAATAGAAACACAAATGATAAAATAAATTGGGTTAGTTATCTCTTTTTGCACTACTATTCTTTGTATTTAATATTCTGATGTTTTTTTTTTTTTTTTTTTTTTTGTCTATTTTCTTGTCAGTTAATAAAATTTCAGCCGTTTAAAAAAAATATTATCACTAAATAAATAAAAAAATTTTTACGTAAAAAATAATATTAACAATGTCTTTGCAATTAATTAAAGGATATATTTGAAAAATTAATTAAGGGATATATTTGGAAAATTAAAAAAACATCTTAAAAAGCTAGTCTTTGTAGTTTTTTAAAAAGCTAGCTTATAAACTAGCTTATAAACTACTTTTTGACATTCCAAACATGACAATTTAAAAAAGCTCGAAAAATAAGCTAGCTTTTCAGCTAATTATGACGCGCCAAACACAGCCGTAGTCTCAAACCGATAGGTTTATCATTTTTTTTATAGTAATTAACAACAAAAAATAAACCACTTGAGTTGTGGTGACTTGGTAAGACGTGTGGAAGATATGGTGGATAACCTATTGACCCATGTTCAAATCCTGACACCACTCAGCCCTTGTGTTCATGGAGGTTCGCCTGCAGTGACTCCAGGGCATGAGACAAAGCCTCATGTTTGCAGCGGGGGATTAGTCGGTGCGCGAAAGCTGGCCCGGAAACCCTCGTTAGGGAAGTTCCCTTTCCAAAAAAAATGATGTTTGATTAAAAGCCCTTGATACTTAAAATAATAGTGTTATCTTGTTTTATACGAGTTATGAACTTTATAACTTCAAGAAAGTGTTAAAATATTAATTGTCAATTTTAATTAAAATATATCAATAATAAATTACTTTTGTCTTTCGTCACAACAATTCACATTTGTTGGAGAACTTTTAATAATTTGATAAAATATTGTTTGGATATGATACATGAATAAATATTAATATTATTATATTTATCTGACAATGAGTTGAAATTTTATGTCCGCTTGTTACTTTGGTCTTTGGGTTCTCCATGTTTGAAACGTTTACAGTCCTTTGTATCCATTTAAGCAAAACATCCCTTCTCTACTCTTCTTCAAAAATATGGTATCGGAACTCGTAAGAAGGCTTCGCTAGGGTTCCTCTTTTCCCTATATCTTTGGAAGCTTCATACAGGTACTTTCCTTCATCTAATCCTACTTCAACCTAAGTCAATTCAACGATTTCATTCTGTAGTTTCCTCTGGATTTCTCCAAATTCTTCCATTTCCGGTTGTTACATTCATTATTAACAGTCTTTAATTGCATGTGGCTTCAGAGCGATTGTGTGCAGGGAGTTTGGGATCTTAGGGTTTTTTAGTGATAAATTTGTTTAATTCGCTGAATAGACTCTCAACAACTGCTATCGTAATTTTACTTGATTGAATTGGAAATGTTTTCCTCAGGGTTGCTTGAAGTTGAGTTTGAGTTTGAGTTCGAGTTCGAAGTAGTGTATATTAATTTTATTTCGAGATGATAAATTTGATTTCGACAGGAGGGTTTTTTCAGTAATCGAGTGACAAGTGGAAAATTCCTGTTCTACTGAGATGCCGACGACAAGTGGTTACGCGATGCCTTTCGGAACCTTTCGCCGTTCAATAATGGGGATTGGAAACGATCATAATCAAGTCTATTCCATGGACGTCAACAGCGATTCCAGTTCTGAATTCCATTGTGAACTCGGATCATTTGAACACCAAGTCTTCCGCCAATTCCGCACCCTTTCAGCAGCTTCTCCCGATGAACTACTTTCTCTCAATTGGGTATCCAAATTATTAGATGCTTTCATAGCTTGTGAAGAAGATTTCAACATCATTCTCTCCACCCACGAAGCAAATCTCTCAAAACCCCCTTTAGATAAATTTCTAACAGAATTCTTCGATAGAAGTATCAGGGCACTCGACATCTGTAATGCTATCCGTGATGGAATTGAAAAGATTCGACTTTGGTATAAACATCTAGACATTGTTTCAAGTGCTTTCGATTCAAAACCAAGAAACATGATGATTGAAGGTCAATTTAGGCGTGCAAAAAAAGCTTTGACTGATTTAGCCATCATCATGCTCGATGAAAATAAAGAATCTGCATCCGTTTTTTCAACCAGAAACCGATCTTTTGGGCGTCTAAACAAAGGGAATAAAGACAATCAACAAAAAGCAGGACACTCAAGGTCACTTTCATGGAGTGTCCCTAATTCATGGTCAGCAAGTAAGCAACTTCAGTCAATAGCTAATGGATTACTCCCACCTAAACCCCATGAAATTTCTGCCACTAATGGCTTAGCTACAATCGTTTACACAATGGGATTTGTTCTGATGTTTGTTTTATGGGCTTTGGTGGCTGCGATTCCATGCCAAGATCGGAATCTCCAATTCCATTTATCTATTCCAAGACAATTCTCATGGGGGACTCCATTAAACCTTCTTCACATCCGAATCATGGATGAATCCAAGAAACGCGAACGCAAGAACAGTGCTGGGCTTCTTAAAGAGATTTCCCAAATGGAAAAGTCAATTCATTTGATCACGGATTTTGTTGATTCCATTCATCAGTTTCCATTGACCGAAGAACAGAAAGAAGAAGTGCAAATGGGAATTCAAGAGGCGTCTTTAGTTTGTAATGCATTAAAGAATGGATTGGATCCTTTGGAACGCCAACTTAGAGAAGTATTTCGGAAAATCATGTCTTGTAGGACTGAAGGCCTTGAAATCCTTGGAAGGGTATAATCTTGCAAATGGTCAAAAGGGTAAAAATAATATGGTAATTTGTGTAGTTTGAGTATACATTTTATGTGCTTTATATCTTTATTCATGTTTCTTTATGTTATTTTTATTGGGTCCGGGTTTGGGTTTGGGTTTGGGTTTGGGTTCACCCATTAATTAATCTTTTTTTCCTATGTATTATCTTTTTGTTGCTTTTGATAATTTCATTCATTCTTATATATGTATCCAAGAAACCAAGATTGTTTGACTCAGGTGTTATTTTATTTTTTTCTCTTTAACTTTTCAATAAAGTGTTGTCTGGATAACTTTTCTCTGTTATACGTGTGTTGAGTTATAAGAAATAGTAATAATATATAGGGAAACAAAAGATATATATGATGAACATGTTATGTTTTGTTAAGAGGGGAATGAAATATTAGTAATGATGGACATATGGGCATGAGCATGATGATATTAATGTAATGGATGTATGATCATGTGTGTGAAGGTCATGGACATAGACAGGTTGCAAATTTCAAGTAGTAGTTGATTTTGTATGAAAAGAATTAAATGAATGGAACAGTTTGACAAGATTTCTGGTTAGGCATAAATGGGTTGGGGTCAACCCCATGTTTATTATATATCAATAGTTGTTACTTGTTTGTTATATATACATGGTGTTGGCCCCCACCTTCATATCGACCACCCACCTTCCCCTTTGCACTTTGGATCTCAACAAAAGGTTTGGTTATCGATTAATACAGAAATCCAGCCCAATTCCGAGCCCGATTGGCCCATTTTTAGATCTGGAAGAACACACATTAATTCATTATCATGATTACTAATGTTCTTGAAGCCTAACACTATCATCAATGATTAATCATTTAATCTTGAAGACTAACACGATTTGATACATGGAGTTTTACTCCAAATTTCATAGATGAGTTCTTAGATGCACAAAGTGATTTAAATTACAAATGATTGAATAAAAAGATCAGATTCATATGTTTCGAAACCATTTCAATGGTGTTTGTGCTATTAAAATAATAATAAGATTCTATAAATAAGAGGACTAAGGACCTTGATAGCATCAGAATTTAGATATGTTATATTTTTAGCTAAGTTTTATGTTTCGGTAATTGATAAGAGATTAAGAGGGTGTTTGACTAAGCTTATTTAAAATGAGAAGTACTTTTTAATTTATAACTTATTATCTTATAGCGGTGTTAAGTTTTTTAAAAAAGTGCGTGGATTAGCTTATCTGGTGTCAAAATGCTATGAGTTGATAAACCCTTTTTAGTGTTTGACAAAATGAGTAAAAAAAGATTTCCTAGAAATGTTAGACAACTATAAGTTATAAGAAGTTTTGATAAGTTAGAGGTTAGTAACTTATCAAAAATAACTTATCTCCGGTTCCATACCGCTATAAGCTGTTTTAGAAAACATTATATCCAAACACTCATTTTAACTTGTACCGGTGTGGAACCGGTAACAAGTTAAACAAACTCATTTTTTAAGCTTAGCGAAACACCCTCTAAACATATTCGAAATTGACCGATCATTCAAATAAATTAACTGAAACTAAAAGTGTTTTTAGTTAATTTTTCAAAATTAAAAAAAATCAAATAGAAAAAAAACAAATCGAAAAAGATGACAAATTTAAAACCTAATGGTTAGAAATGTCTTTCGTAAACAAAAGCTACTTTTTGTTTCTAGAAGGGAAATTGACTTAACATGATAATTACCTTTTCATTTTGTTCATATTTGGGTAATTTTTTTTGTACACATATATACAACAAGCTTGTTGGAAGTGTTCATATATGAGCATTATTACCTGCTATAGCAAGTTATAGCTTACGTGGCGTATACATGACACATATGTTGCAAAGATAATTATCCATGAGGGTAATGAACTATTGGTTTTGTTCACATTTAGACAATTTTTTTTGTTCGCATCTAGGATTTTTTTTACACATTCAACCATCCAACTTGTTGAAGTTGTTCACATAATACCATTGTTTCAGAAATTTAAATCAGTAGTTAAATTCGTTCGTCTAACTTAATTTGTTCACCTAATACCATTATTTTTGAAATCAAGACACTTTGTTCGATCTGACAAAAGAAAATCGTTTGTTTCTTAGGTGGGGTTCGAACCAGAAGATTAAACTTATATTTTACGATTATTATCCTAATCGAAGTTTGAGCTTGCTCCTCCATGATGCAGGGACTGGGAAACGAGGAACAAAGTAGGAGACTAGGTACGAGGTTATAATAGGCATGGATCATGCTCTTGCATATCCACATCATGACTGTGTGCTTGTTATTTTACATGGAGATGTCAAAGTCATGAATGTGTTATTGGGTCTGAACCTACAATCTTACCTTGGTGATTTTAGGCTAGTTAGACTTGTTGTTACAAAAGATTAAAACCAGAAACCTCAGTTGGATCCCACTCTCCCACTTATTAAACCTCGTACCTAATCATCCACTATGCTCCTTGTTTCCCAGTCCCAACACAATGGAGGAGTAAGCTCAAGCTTCCATTAGGATAATAATCGTAAAACAAAAGTTTAATCATCTGGTTCGATCCCCACCCTAAGAAACAAAATGGTGTTCTTGTGTCAGATCGAACCAAGTGTCCCGATTTCAGAAATAATGGTATCATGTGAACAACTTCAACAAGTTGGATGGATGACTTCAACTAACGATTTAACTTTCTGAAACAATGATATTATGTGAACAACTTCAACATGTAACAACGTGAATTTTCAAAACAATTTTTTTCATTTTAAATCACATAATCCTCATAATGTATTTCACAAAAATCTCTTTTATTAAGTTTACAACTCAAAACTTCTTAATTACTCGGCTAAAATCCAGGATCCTCAAAACGTAACTCTCTCACTGGTGTGTACAATCAAGCCGGTGCCTTCCTGCGATCCTAAGAACAACCTGAAACACATAACACATAACACGATAAGCACGAAGCTTAGTGAGTTCCCCAAAATACCACATACAACAATTCGCCACTCGAGGCTATACTCTGTAAGACCCTCCGGTCTATGTGTCTCAGCGGGACCCTCCAGTCCCGTAGCTCGTTGGACCCTCCGGTCCGGTCTAGCTCGTTGGACCCTCCGATCCGGTCTGATTGAGAACCCTATGGCCTCATAGTTCGTTGGACCCTCCGGTCCGGTCTAAGCAACAAAT